GCAAGAAACTTGTAGGCTGCTCCTTGCGAGTGTCTATGAGGAAACTTGCAGGCTGGTGGGAAGAAAGAAAGATTTCTCCTCCAGTCTCAGAAAGTCCTGCTCAAGGACTTCTGGGAATGTGGAGGTTGCTGCATGAGCCAACCATATCCTGGTGGGCCTTACGTCCATTCAAAATGTTCTGTCGGCACTGGCTCTGTTGGGGTGTGTTCGCTGTTGAAACGGAATGTATGGCAGGGTGAAGGTTTCCTCCCAAAGGGTGGCTTTATTTCCACCAGTTAGAGAAGAGAGAGTTTGTGTATTTGTGTGCATGTGTGTGTGTGTGTGTGTATGTGTGTGTGTGTGTGTGTGTGTGGCAGTTTCTTGTTTTCTCTCTTGGTTTAACTGGCATTTGACACATTGCTTAGTCTTTAGAACGACTCTTTCTCCTCAGTGAAAAGAAGCTGCTCTTCTGGGGAGGCCCCATCATCATGGGCGCTTGGTTCTTGTGAATAATTTTAATCTAAAAGCAAAGAGGCAGAAAAGAATTACTGGCATGCGAATCCCAGTAGCCTATGGGTAAGTGAGTCGCAGAGAGCAGGAAGGCCGGCTTTGGGCTGGAAGGAGCCTCATGAAAAAGGACAACTGTCCTTGAACAACTTCAGAATTGGCAACTGGACCCTGACTGGGCCTGGAGTTTGGCACTGCTGGAAGTGAGGGGCGGAAACACTGGGGAGAGACAGGTGCGAGCTTCCCACGTGGCGATCAACTCGCACCTGTCTGGTGTCCTTGCTATTCATAGACTCTCAGAATGTCACGGCCGGAGAAGACCTCAGAGGCCATCTCACTCAACCCCTTTGCAGGATAAAGGTCTAAGGTCACACAGAAAGAGGCAGAACAGCCAGAGCTCAGTTCTTCAGATTCCCAGCCTCCACCGCTCCTAGCCATTTCTGCTTGGGCAGTGCTGAGATGTCAACCAGTAACTCAAAGTTGACCTTCCGTCTGACCTCTGACCCAAGCAACATCATCTGGAGAGTTTCCAAGTGACTCTCTTATGTCTTTCCTCTTTTCTTTGTTTTCCAGGAAAGACCCGACTTTCTTTTAAAAGCTTTTTTTTTTTTTTTAAATTTTAGAGTTTATGACTATTTTCTCTTGTAAACTTTAAGTTAAATCCAAGTGAAAGACAATTGTGAATTCTCATTTTTGCCTTTCTTCTCAACCTTAGCCTCACAGCATGGCCTGAAAATGCTTAATCCCTATGTGAATGTGGCCTGGTGACACTGCCATGTTAATAATTTGCATTACCAGTTCATCAACTACATTTATCAAGTATGACATGTGTTCAGAATAGGGAAATGATGTGGGACAAAAAGCACTTAGGATCCAAAGTCCTGGGTTTGGGTCCCAGAACTCCTACCCACTTTGCCTTGAGCTTTTGAACAAATCCCTTAACCTTCTAAACCAGGGCTGGTGGAACCGTAATATGAGGATAATAACATTTGTCCTATTTTTCTCACAAAGAGAGAAATAGAATGTAACTGTTTAGTAATTGTTGTCTTACACTGGAGGAGGAGAGAGATATATGCCAAAAGAAAAAGAATCGGTGAGCCCATCCTTATGGTTTTTACCACGTTATTGGAAATGATGGTGTGACCACAGAGAACGACAAAAGAACTCTTGGAGAGACCCAGCAACAAATTTAAATTAACGTAGCATGAACCAAGTGGTGTCAAAAAGAAGTTAAGTAGGGAATGAGAGGAGTCTGAACACAATTAAGATTTGAAAAGAAGGGAAGGAAATGCGTTGCTGAAAACAGAAAAGGAAGGCACTGGGTAGAGGGACCACATGTGAACTCGTTGAGTAGGGGACAAAAGATGAGAAATGAGGTTAAGGATATAGATAGGGCAGTTGGTATAGGGATTTAAGGGGTTTAATGTGAGGTAATAGGGAACTATGATAACTTTTTAAGCTGGAGAATAACATGATGAAGAAAGAGTTTGAGGGACATTATTCAACTTCTGTTGTCAGGGTGAACTGGAGAGGGAGAGAGTCTGGCCAAAAGGGTATTACTGCAAGCCAGGTGTAAATTTATAAGGTCCCAGGGTATAGAAAGAAAAAGGTGGGACCGAAAGAGGTTGTAGAGAATTCCTTAGTGATAGAAGTTGAAACTGACTCTTCTGTGGGTTCCCACCAGCCTGGAGATCTAGAATGGGAGTCGACCTTTCTGTCTGGTGATAGTCACTGGAGGAGCGAACCAAGACTACAAGCACTACTTGGTGTTATGTGCCTTATTATGGGAATTATGTTTATTCCAGAATTTATGGAAGCGAGGCATAGTCTGAGGACTCTGATAGCACTTCTCTGTGGCATGTAATTTAGCACTCTCTGATGACAGCAATTTGTGGTACATTTCCTTGTGGTAAGCCTTCTCTCACTGCCTGAGCACATAAGCCCTCTGAGGGGAAGAACTTCGCCTTATTTACTTTGGTGTATTTCCTGAGCCAGCTCAGTCTCTGTTCAGAGCACATGCTGTAGAAGAATTGTTTGATTAGCACACCGAGAAGAGAGAGAAAATGTCCTGGCAGTGGGCATGGCTATGTTTGGGGCAGTGAGTGGCAGCTGGTGCTCTGCCTACATTTCCCGCTGATGGAGCCCATTTTTTTAGACAATAGAGGACCCTTGCTTCTCCTTTTTCTCTCTCTAGCTGTTATTTGTTTGCTTGTTAGCACCTCCAGGGCAAAGAGGAGGAAGTGAAACTTGAATCCCTCTCATTTGTTTTTTCAGCAGTTTTGACAAAGGTCTTGATGGGATAGGAGTTTGGAGATCCTAGGTAACCTGAGATTTTGATGTGTTTTGTTGATTCTAGCACTATAGATAACTGAGAGTGGTGTTTGTATGTACAAACGCCGAAGGCAAGAAGTATGAGATCATAATCTCCTTTGGAGTCAAAGAGATGTCAGTCTCTTACCCTTATACCTCCAAACGAGGAGGGGCGACTAGAGTTAAATAGGAAAGTTATCATTTTAGAAGATAGCTCAATGTGGCTAAAGCTGCCTTTTTCAACTCCTGATGGAAAGAGCATCCCACATTTCTGTAGTTAGAATCTAGCTTCTCTGATAATTGGTCAGGTCAGGCAATTAACTCAAGTCTCCATGATTTTCTTAAAAACCTTACATAACATGTACAACATCTGACAAGCACTAGGGACAGCAGCCCCATGTTCTGCATTCTCAGCTCTGTGGTAGAGAGAAGTGATGCAGTAGACTCTTGTGTGATAGCTCAAAATTCACAAAACTACTGAGGCATATAATTCTTCCTTTAAAATGGAGTAAATTTTAAAATTTCAGTAGTGCTGGGAGTTGACTGTTTTGGGGGCCATTTTCTTCAAATCAACACATTTTTTTATCACTTCAAGATAAACAATAAACTGAGGGACTTCCTCCTGAATGTTACCCTCTCAGGGTAAATAATTTGAATCATGTCCAGCAAAATGGCCAGTAACCATAAGTGTGAGCCCTTCTCCAATCATTTGGGAAGAATCCAAGTCTGCCCTAATTTTAGCTGGAGATAAATAGAAAGGCACAAACCTGCAAGGTCTCAACTAGTCTTTGTGATCTTTTAAAAAGTCAAGGAAATAGTCCTGCTTAAAGTGAGCCTTGGGGAGGACAGGGGTTTGTGCAGTCTTTCAGGTCTTAGCTATTTCTGAATTCTTTTAGATGTTAGGATGCCCTGCTTTATAAGAATGTTTCCTGCCATCAGAGGCTTTCAAATATAACTGGACAATTGGGTTTTGCTAGGGGTGGAGAAGTCTGGGATTTCTTAATAAATCTGGAAGTTTGACTAGATTATTGGTTCTCAAAATGTGGTCCCTAGACCAGCAGCATCAGCAACTTCTGGGAACTCATCAGAAATGTGAATTTTCAGGCATCTGGACCTGCTGAATAAGAAACCCAGCAATTTGTGTTTTAAAAGCTCTCCAGGTTATTCGAATGTATACTCAAGTTTGGGAATCACTGGACTAAAGAAGTAGAATTCCTTTTAACCTTGAGATCCTACTATTACCCAACTCCGGGAGAAGATTCTTAATTTTAAGGCTCAAATGATGCCGCCTAACTGTGATGGTAAAGCCTGAGAGGTCATCTTATAGTGCTGCAAGCACAAGGCAAGTTTTTAAATAACATATTTTTATATACATATATCTTATGTATAAATAAATATATGCTCATTTTTGAGAATTTAGAAAACATGGAGAAATTTAAAAAATTACCTAGAGATAACTGCCCTTAACTTTTTAATATATTTTTTCCAGTTTGTTTCTATGCTTATATGTTTTTAATAAAACCCAAATTAGCTTCCTAATCTGCTGTTTTTATTTAACATTTTGCAAGCATTTCTGATATCATTAAAAATTCATTAAATACGATTTTCAGTAGCTGAAAATTATTCCATTTGATGAATCACACATAGTTTATCTAACCTTTCCCCTAAATGTTGGGTGTTCAGGTAATTTTCATTTTTTTTTTTTGCTATTATGAATAACATAGAAATTGAGATTCTTATAATCAGTTCCTGTATTTCTGGTAACATGTATTTTACTTAGAATAAATACCGAAAAGCATATGAACAATTTTAAGGGTCAAAGTAAATGAACTGGATCAATATATATTAATATTTGTAAGGATCTTCTGGATACATGGCTCCAAACACTTCCCAGAAGAGCTGTACCCGTTTATATTCTTCCCTCTCTGTTTGAGTGTGCTGGCCTCCTCCCACCTTTGACAGCAATACATATTATCTTTAAAAGAAAAACAAATTGTGCTAATTTGGTATGTGAAACATGGCAGGGTTTTCTTAGTATTTTAATTTGAAATTCTTTTCCCCTTTTTAAGTATTATTTCATAAGTTTATTAGCCCATGGCATTTGTTCTGTGAGTTATCTGTTTACAATTGCATTGTTAGTATTTTTTCCTGTTTGTTTCTAAAAGCTCATTATACATTATGGGAATTAACTTGCTCTTTGAGAAAGCTATTGCAAACATCTTGTCCTTGGTCTTTTAAATATCTATATTGATTCTCGACTTATAGAGTCTTAAATTTGATAATAGTCAAATATGTCACTTTTTTCTTAGAAAGTCCTTGCTCGCAGTGTAATTACAGTCACCTATTTTTCCCCTCAGCTAGTAACATTTAAGTTTTTAATGAAATTGCAGTGTTTTTGTTTGTTTTTGGAGTATAGTCTGAGGTGAGAAGTTGGTATATAATGACATTTTTCCAAACAGGCAATTTCTTGAATAATATATGTTAAACACTTCATTCCCTTCAAATTAGCTTCTGGTCTTTCTTTTTTCCCTTCATTAGTTTTTATTTGTACTAGGGTTTCTTAGGGCTCTTCTCTGAACTGTGGATTCATCGGCACAATATTATTCCAACTATTGTGGCTCTATAACTTTTTTATTATCTTGTGGGAGACTCTCATATTTCTTTCATAAAATGTCTTAGCTATTCAATTGTTTTGTTAAGTTAAAAAAATTGCATTAGGATTTCGTTTGATATCCCAGTTTAGAAACATGGGATATTTCTAAATTTGAATCTTTTTTTTTTTTATATTGATTATATCTTAAGTCTTCTTCACCTTTTTTTGTATACCTCAGATTATATGATAACTTATAATTATTAATAAAACCATTACCACATTTATATTTTATTACATTTATTATATATTTTTATATTTTAATATCTTTGATCATTGTTTTTCTTTTTAAAATAAGGTTTTTAAACATTTGACATATTTAAAGAACTAGTTCTAGATTTCTCTGTTTCTTAATTATTTAGTTTCTACTTTATCTTTATTATTTTCTTCCTTCTGATTCTCCTAAGTTTGTTTTATCTTCTTCTAATTTTGGAATTAGTCATTATTTTTTTTTCCTTTTTAAGTGATGGCTATATATGAGATTTTGAATATACTTCCAAATACAGTTTGAGCTATCTTCTATAAGTTTTGAATGAAAGCCTTATAATTTTTATTATTTTTTAAATAGTCAACAATGGTGGTTTTGATCCCCTCTTGAATCTACTGTTCTTTAGAGAATTTAAACATCTCTGAGTAATTGGATTTTGATGATTTATTCACTTATTCTTCTATTATTAATTTCTAGTTTTATTATTCTGTGGTCAAATAAAATAATCTTTATAATTTCTGCTTCTGAATTTTATACAGACTTTTTTCTTTGTAAACTTGTTTATAATCTATTTTAGTAAATACTGTATGGATTTTTGAAAAAAATGAGATATTTAATTTGTTTATAGGTTATCAAGTTATTTCATCCAAGTTTTATGTCATTTTTTTTTTTTTTCTAATTGAACTCAAAGGCAGAAACAAGTATTTTAAGGCCTCTCAATACCTTTCTTTCTGTCAACTTTTTCTTATATATTTTTTATCAGGATATATATTGATAATGTTTTTCACATTATATGTTTTGATTCTGTTATTAGATACCTAAACTTTTGACCATTACATCTCATAATTGAGTATATTTTCTATAAAATAAGATGTGACCTTCTTTATTTCACTTTATGTTTTTGGCATGTTGGAAAGTTAGTTTGGCTATAATTAATGAAATTAACAATATTATTTCTTACTTTTAATTTCTTTATGTTTGGTAAAGGATAAGACAAATAGATACATGTGTCTTTTGTTTTGGGTATATCTCTTCTAAGAAATATATCATTGGATTTAAATTTTTAACTCAATATGAGAATACTGTTCTTTAGTACGGGACTTTAACATATGTTTTTTGGTCATTATTGATCTATTTAGTCTTAACTTCTTTCATTGTACTTTAAAAATTGTTAAATGTTTGCTTATTATTTACTTTCTGTTTTTGCTACATTGATAGGATTCATAAATTTTATTCTCCCACATTTGAAATGTGTGTCTTGTTTTTAGTTTCACTGAGTGATTATCTAGGTATTAAAATTCTTCTGATTCATATTTTTAAATTATCAAAAGAGAGAGACAATGAAAGTTAAGCATATTTTTACTATTCCTTCAACAATGTCTCCTAAATGCTTTTAGCCTTGGTTAATAGAACTTTAGGGCTGGGGTCCAGGTTACTAATGTTTACATTATACATCTTCTCTTTCAGAGAATGATTTTGCCATTTGTGTTTATTTGTATAACTGTATTTAACAGTTTTTAAAAACTTCATTTTAATTTAACTGGTTTCAATTTTTACCAAAAGTTTTTTGTGCTGTGATGTCTCATCATTAATCCTTTAATTGTGAACTACTGCTTAGTTGGTGTGTGCCTTCAGGAAAATATTTCAATAAGGTTACTTTTGTTTTAATTCTTTCAAGTTTAAGAATAACTTCCTGTTACCTTCTGTTATGGACTGAATTGTGTATCCTCCCGCACCCCTAAAACCATATGTTGAAGTCCTAACTACCAATGTGACTGTTTTGGAGCTAGGGTCTTTAAGGAGGTAATTAAGGTTAAATGAGGTCATAAGGGTGGGACTCTAATCCAACAGAACCGGTGTCCTTATAAGAAGAGGAAGACACCAGGAATGCACACGCACAGAGAAAAGGCCATGAGAAAACACAATGGGAAGGTGGCTATCTGCAAAATAAGAAGAAAGGCCTCACAAGAAAGCAATCCTGTCAGCACCTTGGTCTTGAACTTCCAGCCTCAAGAACTATGAGAAAATAAATTTCTGTTATTTAAGACACTCAGTCTGTGGTATTTTATTATGGCAGCCTGAGCAGACTAATATACTTTTACACATGGATTTCCATGGACTGCCTCCCATAAAATCATTGGGTCACAAATTTTTTCATAATGGGTTGTAATCTCTGAAGAGTGGCATGGAGAGTGGTAGGGGTGGGCATAAGAGGACTATTTGGCCTTTTCAAAAAACCAGTGCTTAGATTTAGGGGAATGGCAATCCAGTTTTCAGTTTTCACTGAACCAGGTGGGAGAAGGTTTCACTTCTTCCAGGTTTTTTTGTTGTTGTTGTTTTTTTTTTTTTTTAAAACTTTTTTTCTTTCAAAGAACATCAGTGACCCTGGTCTGAATTGACTAGGATCTACTATAACTTCCCA